ACTAACCTACGCCCGCTCAAAGTATTGAAATATCAAAGATATCATTATAGCTTTTATGGTTGATCCGCAGTCTATTGTTTCATACTCATTATTTTTCCGGATACTTTACATTTGCTGTTTACTACTATAATATTGATGTTTGTTGATTTGTTAAACGTTTTGTAGTTATAATTCTGGCGTTAAATGGTTTTTATGAAAAGAAATTATAACAAAAAGAGAGGAAATAAAGATATCGTGATCAGTATATACATTTTTTATTTTCCACTTAGAAGTTAGTCTTCCATCATCTTATATAATATCAACGGGTTTTTATTGGTTCTTTTCAAAGTTCTCACTATGACTACCTATTTTTCATCTATTTTCCAAACAATAGACACAATTATAACTACAAGAGATCGTTATGGTGTCATTGACGCGGTGCATGTGACTTAATAATGTCAAGTGACTCATAGTCATGCGCCATGTTGGACGGCAAAATCCCTGCTGCCCACCACGCTTGTGTTACTTTTTAACTTACTGTCGATGTTGTCCTGAACGCAATAGTCAAATGAAATGATTTGTTATTTTTACCTGCCCAATAGACAGTGACAATATTTTACAGCTTCCCTGTTGATTTCAATCGAAAAACGAAATGGATTGCGGAACTTTCACACCTGACTGACTAATTAATGGTGCAACTTTATTAAATTTGGTTAATGTAACTTTTCTGATCATTTGCGCTTTGTTGGCTTGTTCTTTGAACTTGTAACGTCCGTTTTATGGCCTTCGACATATCCAATCTTTCCTTTCGGGACAGCTGACCAGCTGCATTGAAAAGATGTACAGGTTTGTCCCTTTGCCAGTTTCAAACCTGAAATCCCTGCAAATAACGCAACCACTTTGCGACTATAAGTTTCACCTAAGTCAGTAATGCATGTAGAGTGTGCACAAAATAGCACTGCCTTCATACTTTAGCAGTATCCAGGGCTTGAACTGAGGAGGAGACAGTGTATGGTGAACGTGTTATCTAGAATATTTTAATAACAAAATCATCTCGTATTTTTGATTATCTAAACCTTTATATGATAAAACATTTTATGTCAGAGTAATTTTATTAACCAATTACGCATTAAAATTACATGTTCTTGGTAAATCATTAATAATATTCACCTAATTTAGCGTTCAATTCTGAATATAAACACTATTTATTAGAATACAGGCATTTAGATTTTAAAAGTTTAAAAAGTTATAACATAAATAACATTAATACACGTTAGTATTACGTAAACTTTCATTTTCATGTCGTCTCATAAATAAAAGTATCAATTAGAGAACATAATCTCCAATATTTTATATGAGTTTCAATCAAGGTTCATATTATAAGTGACAATGACCTATTGCCATGATACATACGCTTGGACTATGGTAATGTACAAGTGAAGTGTTTGATTTGTCAATTGCAGCTTATTTTTTAAGAAATATATTGCCATTTTTGATTGTAATTTGATTATAATTTCTCTAAATGTGACATAAATATTAGTTCTCAAACAACAAATGATATAAAAATTTGGTAGCTATATTACTTATCCTACAAATTGTTATAATTGGTCGTTTATGCGTTTTATCTCTATATAGAGACAAAGAGCTGATATTCATTAGTATAAAAGCAAAAGATCAGAACTATTAGATAGTCTAATGTTAGCAAAATCCTGTACATTTTTGGCACCAAAGAAAAATATACAAATTACTAAAACATAACCAAGAGAAAAAAGTTGGCAGCAACTGTAGATTGGACAAAATATAGACATAGTTATTAATTGTTATGACTTACCCGTAATGTAATCAGAAAAATGTCATTGTTCTGCACCATACAAGGTTTTACAGACGTCACTCATCTTTCTACGATAATTCATATCCTTCCGTGCTTTTGTAAGATTTCAGCTCTCTGCCTGAGATATCCAACTGAGTAAAAGCTACATAAGAGAATATATCATTGTACGCCACTGGGTCACTGCTGCAAATGTCCCTAAAAACAATTTCAGAAAGATTGTATGTTTTTTGGCATTTTATGTATTTCGAAACACTCAGCATTTAAATACATAACTTCCTTGGAAAGAGTCCTGGCATGACCAACTGGTTAGGGCACTCGACTCGCGGGTTTGAATTCCCGTCCCATCAAACACGCTCCCCATTTCAGCCGTGAGAGCGTTAGTATGTATCGGTGAATGCCGTTATTCGTTAGGAAAAGCTTAGACCAAAGGTTGGCGGGGAGTGATGATGACTAGTTACCTACCCTTTAGTCTTTCCCTGCTAAATTAGGGACGGCTAGTGCAGTTAGTCTTCGCGTAGCGAAATTTAAAACAAACCATATCAACTCTGGAAAGTGACAAGCTGTCACCGACAATACTCGACCATGTTGTTTTTTAGACCAATATGGTGCTTTAAACAAACCGGATCACGTACGTGCTTCAACCTCCTCTACAGCCAACATGACTTTTCCGATGGTTTTATTACATTAAACTACTCGTTGGCGTAACTCTTTACTTTCAAACTTGTTTATCAGTCCGAAAGTTAGGAAATTAACATCTTAAAAAAATACGGTGAGCTATATAAACAATAAACGGCAAAACAGGGCCAAGAAGTGAGCACATGTTTGTGCACAGAACATATTCCATGTAAGAATATGTGTTATATAAAACTATCACAACTTGAAATATTAGATTTTTTAATGTAATTGTAGGAATACATGAAATGGACTTGAAATTCAAAAGAAGTTATTAAATGTGGTGGATATTGCATATAATTTATGTTGACGTTTAATTTTATAGTGCACTCGGAATAAAATTGAAAATAACCGAATAATTTTCTAATATAGATGGTTGAGTAAAATATATTAAAACGATTTCGAATATGCAAATGAGCAAGTCACATGGTTTAAAGTCACAGTGGAACGGATATAGCAGAACTATAGTTTTACATTGATTGGAATTTCGTAGGCAGTATGGCGCCATCGAAAACTGATCGGTTTTAGGAAGAGTATGTAAACTTTTTTCGACGCAGTATATACATACACTCATAAAGTTAAGTTCAGATTGGGAATTTAGAATTTGCAAGTTAGGGAAATTAGTATACTTAATAGCATTTGAATGTGGATCGATTTAGGGCACCAGGACCATCCAAAAATAGACCTACAAGTCGTATCTCAGTTGTGTTAAGCAAAGTGTGACGTCTTGTAACAGGTTAGAATCCGCAAACACAATGGCCAGTATCAAGAAACGTCTATATGCCCCAGGAAACAGTATGCAACATAATCAACAAAAATTTCCATCTTGAAAAGAGACACAAATCACGTGAGTACAAGTTGATTCCATGACATATCCAGAAAAGGTAAATCCATGTGTATGAAACTTTATGGACGGTACTTAGCCACTGAAGACTGTAGTACGTGGTGACATTCGACAAAGCGTTTGTGTATCTTGATAACTGTAATAAGACAATAGGCGAAAACATTACACACAGTATGTCGCGAAAATTCTTCGAAGGGGTTCATTATCATCACTGAATAATGTACCCAAGTTAGGGATTAGTAGAGTAAAGGTCAAGGTGAACTCTGCTTAGTATCAGGCCAATATCCTGGACCCTTTGTACCACACAGAAATACCATCTTTGTGCGGTAACTAGAATAAAAAAGTACAAGTTCATAAGATTAAGGCTTACTATCATACTTACTGATCAACCGTTGCATACTTCAATCGACTGACGAATGAAACGGGTACTCACACTATTTATTCCGTTCAAGACGCCAGACACAGTGCCTAAGAATTTCTTTGTGGCGGGACTGTTGAAACGGGCTCTTGGAGACTGTCCTCCTGCTAATTACACGGATTATGGAAAACTTTGAATATAACAGTCTTGCAACAGAGGCTGTTGCAATAAACTGAGATGTAGGGCTATTGTCAAGATGCATAATTGTCAGATAGAACATGTGATGTGGTGAGGATCCAAAGTCGTTTTAATATAACTTACTCAACCCTTTGTATTGTAATGTTGTAAAACGTAGGTGATAAAACATTTTATGTCAAAGAAGCATAAATATTTAATCTTAAATTCCTTTATGGTTAGGAATACTTGTTAAGTTAGAATATCTGTTAGCATTTACGTCAAGCAATTCTTATTATTTGCAACGAACTTAAAATAAGAATAGATTTGAAAAGAAAACATTTTCACTTATTTTTATCATAGAGACTAAAAAAAATAAAAAAAACTGCTGCTTATATTAATGCCACGAAGTTTATTCCACCCTCAACTTAGGATCCAAATCATAAAAGCAAAACATAATTATATATAGGCACTTAAATTAAAATGATACGATACATATTGTTAGTGCTGTTTGAAGTATTTAATCACTCAGTTGTAATGTTTAAATGCCTTTCTAGAATGTCATTAACTAACATACACAGCAACTTATGCTTATTTCCAGTCTTCTTGCGAAACACTAAGTCTTACCTAACTTAATCAACAATGGAAATCCCACGAATGAAATTTAACTTTCAGCTTTCACCACATCATTAGTGATCCGTGATTAGATTTAAATGAGTGTTCACATTTTCTATTACATTAATACTTAAATCACATCAACTGTTTCTTTTAAATATATGTCTGTGTTATTCAGCAAAACAGAAAATATCCAGTGCGATACGTTAACATGAGAATACTTTAGCCCTGAAACACGATTTTATGCTACTTAAAATTTACCTCTTAATTATGTTATACTATTTTTGTGAGAAAGAAATGAAGAACGTAAGTTGTAATCAAAGCTAGTGATTATTGTATAAACGAAAGTGACGAGGATTTGGTGTGTAAACTGCCAGATTGTGATACATCGAGCAGACGCAGAATAATTCTATCATCAATTTCGCTGTCCATCCCCCCAGTCAATTGTGGAACAGCCTATCTTGCGTGCACCATTCAAGTTCAGTCCATAGCTTTTATATCGGTGGTTTCTGCTGAAAGATACGAGATCCACGTGGCGGTGTGCGAGAGAAGTTCTTTGATCGTCTGTGTGAACTTTCAACATCATCAGCCATATCATCTGGCGATGCAGTTTATCAGCTATCCAGCTGCACTGTTATTTATCACTGTTTTAATGGCCTCCCTTCCTTTCTATTGATACTTTACCACTGAGAAAATATTAGTGTTAAAGGACTTTATCACATTATATATCTAATAATTTAAAAGTTTGTAGTGGATTGCTGGTGGGGTTTATATATCGCGTCAATTAATCAGTGAAAATCTGAACAAGAACTTTGAGACAACAGAACTCTGTTATCGAATCGCAAGTGTTTCTAAAGTGCACACATTCATTATACTAAATTTTGGTAAGTAATCTAATTTACATTAATCAAATCTAGATTCCACATAGAAACTGAAAATAGGAGTTTTAGAATTAATGATATTATTTCTATAGCGTAATTTACTATTCACTGGAGACAAAACTTCCGTTTGTAATAGTAAACATTAATAAATCACTACAAACTCAAATTGTTTCTGCTACTTAAAATATTTGATTCGTTTCTGATAAATCAACATAATTTGTATTTAGTTTTTCACTTGTACGAATGTATATCTCTAACACAAAAGCAATACAACCAAGCGTGTATAGATGGGAACAAAGTTTATAAACTTAATACAGTTAAAAAATTTAGCATTGGTTTATAAATATATTTTAATTTGTTGTATTTTACAATAGATATATATTGTGATTACATTTTAAATATGTTAGACAAAGTTGTTATCATAAGTAATGATTGGTATTAAACTATCTTTTATCCTTTTCGCGAATAAATTACCTAATAATATAATAGTATTTAGACGCATAACTCCATATGAGATTAAGATGTTTATCTCTCTGACTCCCTTTCTTTATAAACGAGAAAAGTACGGAATGTCCATACATAAATTATGAACTGCCCTTAAGAAAGGATTAAGTCAACAATAAGTAACTGTTAGATTGTTACTGCCTCTTGGTAAATTGTAATTTTTATCACATTGTTACGTTGCTATTTAGCAATAAATAAGACAACAATGGTATTTATTAATCATAGCGTCCTTTCCTTTTTGTTTAAAATTGTAAATTGTCTTGACTTAATTAAACCTGAATATCATATATATATATATATTCTAGAATATGCCATTTGTGAATTAAAAATATTTAGACAAACAGTAGATTTTATTATTATAACCTTACATTAAATCTCCAAATATAAACGTTTTAAATTATTTCAAACATTTTTGCAATTTTCTTATGATGTCTCTCAAATAAAAAAAAACTATTTTCATAAATACCCTTTCTATTTTAGTGATATATTTCATATGCAGCAATTATTATTATTAATCTGACTTCTTTTAACCCTTTTATGTGCTTTGTTTAACAATTTGTAAAACGTTTTTAGTATTAAAACCGAATTTTCGTAATTGAGCCGTAAGTAAATATTATTTTCGAACATAACTTTATTTTCTATTGATATTTCTTCAAAACCCTTAGGTTCAAAGTGGCTGAAGAACGACATCCGATGGCTCAGCGTTAAGTCTGAGGGCTTATAGCGCAAAAACTCGGGATTAGATACCTACGGTTGGCAGAGCACAGGCAACCCATCGTGTAGCTTTGCGCTTAGCAACAAACACATAAATCACATGATTAAGAAAAAAGCGAAAACACCGGTCAGTCACTAAATGAAAACGCAACAACTGACGACATGGATTCTACCTGGTCTTGTCTCGAATTCATATATCTTATGACCTTATCATCGAATATAGTTAGACATTGCATCTTAGATCACTGATCTTCAGCATAAATCTATGAGATATATGATCTATAGTTTCTTTTTATTGTTAAACCTGCTGCTATGCCATAAAATAGTATATTATTCTTCTAAACTATTATTTCGTTTTATATTTTACTGGTATAAAACATTTAAAGTTGGAGTACCAAAATACACCTGTCAATGGATTACATTAGAAATTTACTTCAGGAAGTCCTAAGCATAATATATAATTGTGATTTAATAATAGGATACTCGTTTTTTTATTCTTATGTGTTTCAATAATTAATGTATGAAACATTTATTTTTCCATACACTAAGCAAAGTCTTTTGCGAAATCTTTCAAGGAAGTTGCAGTACGTAAAAGAAATACACTGAAGCGTAAAATGATGCATAACTCAAAGTGATGACTCATAATTCGACTACGTGATATTCAAACGAACACAATAACGCATGATTTGATATTATAAGTCTTATAATAACTTAAGTCTTCTAACGTCAAAACCTTTATTAACAGTTTATTTGGGATTAACGATAATTCATTGTGAGCTTCATAGCTTAGGTTTCTACTTTTGATTGTCTTCTAAGTGTTTAACTTTTTTACTTTCTTACAGACCAATGATTCAATATATCGAATGCTAAAACCATCCTACTTTGTTAAACCGTTACAGTTGGATAAATAGTGTATAAGCACAGAATCAAGCTTGTTAAAAAATACCCTAACGTGTGATTTTAAGGACAAGAAAAGCGTATACATTAAGGTCATGAAATCCGGGTAATAATTACTCACCTCCTGTTTCGTGGTTAAAATAACTCGATGCTCGAAACAACCATGAAATTAAGACGAATGAAAAAACAAAAACATTCTGGTTTAAAACTTACAAATATATACATATATGTGTATATAAGCAATGAATTAAGTTTGAAAGAGATATTTCGTTTTGTTTTTTAAGTTTAGGCTAGAGTTACAAGTCATCCGAAATGTTTTAAATGATAACACTCACCTGTGTTGAAGCTTGTATACTGACGTTGCTCCAAACTGCTATTGCAGGTTCGTGACCCAACTGCCTTTTTTTCCTTCAAGCAAAACTCAAAAGATCCCGACTTTGAGTGCAAGACATTTCCTTATGGACCCGCGCTTGTAGATCAAAACGTCGACCTTCAAACAAGCTTCAAAATAGGTGATAAAGTCTGTTTAATCCTTTCAAATGGAAAGACGAGTAAATTGTTAATTTGAAGAAACAGGGGTAATTGCTCTTAAAATATCAATATTATATATATTTATTATAGTAAAATAATGCAACAGGTGATAAAAAAAACCTTCATACAATAGAAACATCCTGACAACTTCACAGTTTTTCTTTTCTTTTTTTGGAAAGGAGAAATCAGTTTGAGAAATGTTGTAGTTTGAACTATATTTTGAACTCGGTTAACCTCCCTAACAGTAAGTAAAACTTGTAAACTGAAGTTTTCTTGGAGCCTTCTTGCTCTGATACCCTTCTGCTTCGTGAAATCAAACGAGAGCTAAGGGTAGGAGATTAGGCATTTATGGAAGTGATGTTTATGAACGTGATTGATTTATGCGATGAATGGCCGTTATGAGTTTACTGATTCGTGAATATGTGGTAGATTGTAAGACCATAACAATACACTGTTCGACAGCAGAGTTACAATAGATACTATTGAAATACTCTACCATTATGTTTAATTATATTGTTTGTTTGTTTTTTTCAAACCTGTCACCTGGTTATAAAAAGAAGAGTTGTATCGATTGCTTCAAAAATAAAATACTAATATTTTAGGCATCTTATCTAAAACTTTGCTTGTCATTTTTCATGTTATATATATATATCACAATACAAATCGAAGTAAGCGACGTAAAGTTTTCCTTTACAGATATTTTATTCATTGCCACGAATCACTGATTGGATGTTCTTATCAGATGCTTATTAGAGATGTGCGTTAATGTGGAGCTGAAACCACGCAGTGGCAAAATTAATTACAGTAGTTTAGATAAAGAATATTGACACTTTTATCTATACATTCGATCACATAAGGTGCAATAATTAGAATGGACGTCTTTACTTAAGCATCGAACATAAACCCTTGTAGCCAGGGTGAAATGGTTCTTGAAAAAAATTTTAGGATTTTATATGAAACGATGGCATTATATATAACTTAATATAACTAAGTTTACGTATCTTTTCAGGAAAAAAAAACAGTTTGTATTCATTCACCTCATTACTAAATACGAAGTTTTACGATCAACACGTTACAATGTTTCAAATTTAATTATATTTTAAACGAAGATTTTTCTTTGCTCTGATAAAGAATCCGTTCACGAACCTTCATAAAATCATATTATCAAAACAAAAAGATACACTAGAGATTAGTGTCCTAATTGGATTGCTGCTCAGTTTTCGAAAACTTAGATTAACTTCGTTCGAATAGTAGTCTAATACAATTGTTATGCATGAAAAGGATTAAAGATAAACTGAAGGTAATGTTCGTAATCTGATAAATAGTGTTATGCGCCTGAAGAACGTTCTTTAGAATAGGTGATTTTACAAAGCTGTTTGCCAAGATAAAAAATATTGTTACCAATCATTGGGCAAAGGCAGAAATTGCATCGTAAACATCGTATTAATAGTGATTACTGATGTCATAAGACGTTATGAAACGTTATTTTATCATCGGTATAAGTTAATCTAAAATCGTCGTTATTCTTTTAAAATAAATTTTATTATTAGTAAATGGAATGATTGTACTATATTATGTCGTTCTACTGAATATGTTTGCATCTCAATTGTTTTTGGAAACTTATTGTTTTTATCTTATTTATAATCAGATATTCTAGTGAAGTTAAACATTTTTGAACTACTACTTCTCCTCAGTTGTTTTCTTATTTATTACTATATCAATCTTGAACTGATAGATTAGAAAAAAGACTACTAGTTAACAGCACACTCCATGAACTTTGGGCTAAACTAATCTAAGAGAGGGATCTCACCCTCACTCTTATAACGCATCCACGACCCCAAAGTGCAGAGCACGGTTTAACGGCAACGGAACGCTAGTCATGGACCTTCAAGTTCACAGTCCGTCGTACAAATTGCGTCAGTCAATTAAAATGTAAACTACGGCAGAAAGATTTTTAGGATTAATTATGAATCTCCAATCACTGTTACAGAAATCAAGGTTAAAATAAATACACGTTATTATATTTTTGTATGGAATATCTTGCTATTAAAGAGCATGGCTTGTTTGGCCATGTTGTAAATGACAACATAGCTTATAGAAATTATATTTATCGTTGTATGGCGCCTAGGAAATAAGATTTCGGATAAAACAATTCATGCATTGTTTCAGAAACAGAATAAGAAAACTGAGCATTAGAAACTTGAAAGCAGTCTTCCGGTGCTCGTGTCATAACTAGGATTACGCTGATTTAGAACAGAGTTGTGAATGTAAAGAATGAATTCAAGTCACACTTGACACCACGGGGCTCTGTAGTTGTATAATGATTCTCATAAATTAAAGGAAGTATATCTGGCTAG